GCAGAAGACAATATTGAACATTGGACATGTGTATGGACTGTGGAGACGACCGGCATGTGAACAACTTTACCTGCAGATTTGCCAGAAACATTCCTGTCACAAGCGTCGGAAAGACGATGGAGGGCAAACCAGTCCCCGCAGCTGTCAAGTCTGTGAACCAGAGTGCTCCTCCCTGATACAACCGAAAAAAGAAAAAAAAAAAAGGTTAAGGTTACGCAGACTGGAAAAAGTGGAAAGCAGTTCAGAAGGATATCAAATCGGTCACCTTAAAGGCTTAAACCACTAGTACCTTGGGCGTCCGGTTTCGACAAGTACTTGCCAGCTCCTGAACTTTCAGGAGGCCGAGCCCGACGTTGATCAATCTGATCGGCGGCCATCGTTTTGTTTCGGCCTCCTGAAAGGTCGGAGGCCGAGTATTTTCGAACCGACAAAGGTACTAGTGGTTAAAAAAAAAAAAAAAAAAAAAAAAAATTAAAAAAAAAAAAAAAAAAAAAAAAAGGAGGGTAAAGAAACGGGCCTAGCTCAGTTTGAAAACCAGTGAACGGTTGAAAAACAGACCCAAGTTGGAATCCAGATTCAGTCAGATTATGAACAAAATAGTAAAACAAGTTTAAACTTTAAACTTTAAATAAGTTGAAAATTGAAATAATATAATTGAATGATAATTCTGAATTACCTAGGGGGGGTAAGTTCAATGATGATATCATAGTTGCGGCGCACCTCGGTGCGCGGATTTGCGCACCACGTGCAGCGCACCGCACAGCGCACCAAAGCGCAGCGCACTTGGAAAATTAGGTCCAAAAAAAAAAGAAAAAAAGTAGGGGTTTCATAATTTCTTAGGAGCCCCAACTCGGCAAAAATGTTAAACTCACCACGCAAGCTCGCAAACCAGCCGCGCCCACGGCCCAAACTTTTCTTTTGGGTAAGGGCTGCTGAAATTTCAATTTCCGTAGGCCCTTCCCCCAAAAGTTTCAGAATATCGAGGCACAAAATAGGGCTCATTCCAACTTTTGTTTTAGGCGGGGTATGAAAGCTGTCCTTCCCGCTGACTTCTGCAAATCCCACACAGTAGTGGGGTAAGTTCGCAAGAAGGGGTAGTGCCTAATAACGACCTGCCCCGCGAAATTTCGCAGAATTCACGTATTACATGTTCCATCGCCAGCCAACCACCAATATATGCTGAAGATTGGCGTTCAGGTCCGCATGTCGGCAGTTATGGGCCAGGATGAAGATGCCCGTGGCTCTCTCGTTTTTTTGTTTTTGTTTTCTTACGAATACTTCAAGTGGGGATGCACAAAAGACATAGCATATGGCGGTGTATGGTTC